CCGGCCAGCCAGCGGCCAGCGCCTGCCGCCGCCAGGGTAGGCCGCCCTTCGTGCGTGCGAGCGCGGCGTGTCGTGACTGTCGGCCTCGACACCCCGGACGTCCATAGCGCGCCATCCGCGAGAGCGTGCGCGCGCGCGGGCGAGCGCCAGTGCCCTGTTGTACACGCGGCATAGGTCAGAGGGCGGGGCGGGGCGGGGCGGCCCCGGGTGGGCAGTAGTCATAGCGTTCCCACAAAGAGACGGGGACAGCCCCTGGACACGCGGCCGTGGGCGCGCCGCTCAGCCTTGAAGCAAACCGAACAAACCAAGCTCTCGTCTCTGGGGCGCCTGGGGTGGGGTGGACGCTACGCTATTTCCAGGAAAGGAGGAGAGTGTGCTGTGGGCGGTGCAGCCCCGTGGGTGAGCGCGTGGGGCTAGTATAGGCCAGCCCGGGCGCGGGCGGGGCAACCCCCTTACCTCACGTGAGAGACCAGCCGGGAGCCCCAGGTAACAAGTGCGCCACCTGGGCCTCAGCCTCGGCCTCAGCCTCGGCCTCAGCCGCCCCCGGACACGTTTCAGTTCCTCATAAGTGTTCTAAATCTAACTCACGCACTTTCGCTTGACGGAACAGCTGTTGTATTTTCCCCTCGCCGGTAGCTCCCTCCGATACGCGTTCCCGCTCCGCCACGCTGCCCGCCTGCCCGCGCCAGACCACCAAAGCCTGCCCATACGCGGCACACGCACGTTTTGCGAGGGGGGGGGACTTTTCCCGCGAAAGGCCGCCCGGTCCACCCCCTCTGCCCCCGCCGTCCGCGCTATCCCCGGGAAAGCGCTTCGTCGCTTCGTGGGCAGCGGCGTGGCGTTGTGGTAAGCGGGGGCGGCGAGCGGGGACGGCGTGGACGGCGAGCGGGGGCGGCGAGCGGGGGCGGCGAGCGGGGGCGGCGAGCTCAGGCGTCGTCGGCAACGTCATCCGGAGCGCCGCCTGTCGACTCCACTCCATTCACACAGTTGGGAAGTCGAGCCGTTCTGTTCGATCCTTTGTCCGGCCGGCGGGACTAACTCCAGACGAGGGGGATGAATGGCGAGGGAAGGGCTGAGAAACTCGACTATAATCCCTCTGCAGGTTTAGAGGGGGGAGAGTAGGAGGGGAGGGGGGGAGGGGTGGGGCATGCACCGCGTCGCGACGGACTGGTCTAGGGGTCACGCCACGTCGCACCGCAGCATGCTGACAAACCGAGGAAATGCCGCGCGGAACTTTTCGTATTGCAAAGACCACCCTGTTTTAAGCAGATAATACCTTTAAGCACCTCTGAACTAAAAACATTTTAAAGCAACATTGATGCGACGACTAGCTTAAACTCACGTAGAGGGAAGAGAACCGTGCAAGCGCTAGACGAACAAACTAATAGGATATTGTAAACCGCGAGCCGTGGTGCAGGAACTTTGGCCTACACCCACAAAAAGTCGGTTGGTGGATCTGCTTCCTATCAATCTGTCAATCCCGTACTAGGATGGTTTTTTCTTTCTTATTTTGTTCGACGAGGTCCGCGCCCGTTGGCCAGGCGGGCGTGGTCAGCCCCGACCGGCCGTCCCTGGAGACCGTCCGGTGATGGATCAGGAGGCCGGGGATTAGCCAAAAGTGATCACATCACATCCACGGGCGGCGGGCGGCGGGGGCCCCGGGGCCCCGCGGGGCACGCGGCCGCGGCACGCCACGGCACCTGACCTGTGGCGCCGCGAGCGCGGCTCGGCGGGCTGGACAGACAGGGTCGATGCAGGTGCGGGCCACGGAGATGCAATGAGAGCGAGAGAGAGAGACAGAGAGAAAGAGGAGGAGAGGCCTCGGCAGTAAGCACAGCTCCAGCGCAAACACTGCCCCGTCAACATTTGCCAAGTCGGGTGGAATTAAAACATTGTGTCCCGACTGTCTGCGGGGCCGGAGCTCCGTGCGGAGGGTAGCGGCCGCGACCACACTCCACGTACGCGCCGGAAGCGCAGGGGGAGGTGAAGCGCGGACCGGACAGCTGGAGACAATGGGTCGCGGCTGCTCCTTTTAAAGAGCGGTTGCCTTCAAAACTTTCGGGGCTCCCCCACTAGCGCAAGTACAGAACAAAACAAAACGGCGCCAGGACAACGTTTCTCATACCGGCCGGTGAAGTAACCGGGAGGAACAGCAGTTTGTTCTTTTCCGGTTCCGGTCGCCCTGGCCACCAGTCTTGCAGCAGGGCGCCGCCAGCGGCTGACCTTCCGACGAATGTCCAACGCTTCACTAAATCACCTCTTTTTACGCAGCCCCCTCCTGGTGAGGTCAGTTTATGACTGACACGCACGAAGTTTTCGCAGCGAGCGCCGCCGCACAGGGTGTCCCATAGGCCCCGTACTATTTCTTGGTTATTCTGTACCCACTCGCTCGGGGCCACAAGGCGCCGCGGTGAGCGCCCGCTCATCTGCATGTGGTACAACAAAACAAAAACAGCTCGGGCCTATGGGACACGCCGTGTTATAGCCGCGCCCTCATTCTAGCCCCCACCCCCGCGCTTGTGCCGCGCCCTCCTGCCCTAACGATGTCGCATTTCGAAGCCGACTCCAGGCTACATTATTTCGCGTGTCTAGAGCCGCTGGAGACCATTTAGGTATTAAAGCAAAATCGACCGGACATGAGCCGGCAAACGACACCGAAACTGAGCGCGCGCGCGCGCGGCAGCCACGGCGACATCGATTTTAACATTAGAATTGAAGTTCCGGCATCGATTTGCGGCCTACATGGTGGATTGGAGGGGCGCCGTACTTACGCTGTTGTCCGTCATGTTAATGACGTACTCCAGAAGCGGCGTCGACTTGTACTCGAAGTAGTCCAGGTAGTCTTCCACCTCGAGCGGGTCGGCCGATTTGGTGCTCGATACCTGTCGACAGAACGCACACACATCAGGACACAAAGTGGAGCATTGGTGGGGGCCAATAGTGAAAGGAGAACGTTCCGATACTCGAATGACGCGGGAATGACCGAACGACTGGCAGCGTGAGCCCAGTAAAAACGTCGCCCTATCATCCCTGATGATCCTCCACTAGTTTCGTAAATCAAGCCTCGTTCCTCGCACATAATTTTCATATCCCTCTTTCTCTCTCGAGCCCGTCGTCGCGCAGCGAGTGCGAGCGAGAG